TCACTAAAGCAACTGGCTCTTTCGGCTCCCAAGCGACTCTTGAGATGGTTTTGTTGCAAGCAGGACTAAACCAGAACTGAACCAGGACTGAGTGTCGGGACTCGGTTTCTATCTCTCTCCTTCACTCAAGCCCAAAGATTAGTCCTGGTTTATTCATTTTATGCTGAACTGCAGCCAAATATGCACTTTTTTTTATCCTATNATGAGTGTCAAGTGACAACAGAATGAAACTAATCAAACGTCACCTCCCCACGCAGTTTAAAGAAATATTATAGATACTATTAGTTTTAAATCATGATAGTATTAAATTGAAAATACAACCACATGTTCATTTGTGCTGAGCAAACAAATTTAGGCATCAATAAATGATAATATTGCATTAGGTCCTTAAGCGCTGCAGATTTTTTTTAATAACGGTAATGAAACTGATACCGTTGCTACTTTTTGATACCGTGGGATACCTTATTATCGTCCAACCCGAGTCGTCCTGCCTCCACCGGTAGGAAGACAGCGCCAAAACCTGTATAAATCAGCTCAACGGACAAGTCATAGCAACATCAAGTGACTCTGAGGGAGACCGCCACACTTGTATTGTTCACAGGCTCATGAAAATGCGTTAATTCAATCCATTTTGTAGTTTTTCTTGAGTTTTCAGACTTATCTTAAAACTTTTTTTTGGCTGTGTTTGCTCATGTGTGCATTGTGTCACCTTGGTAACGAACTACAGAATCATTTCAAAGCTGATATTCATGAAACACGATTATTGGGGATGACAACCCCTGTCGTGACAATTACTCTTTTGACAATAGCATATATAAATGGTACATTGATGAATTTCCAAGAAACCTGAACAAGACATGTACATAACATAAGAAATGTCTTAATGTGAATAATCTTGTACTTGGTTTAATCAGATCTCTTATTATAAAAGTTTTTTCTCTCCGCATAATGCATTGCAATAATTTGATACGATATACCTAAATGTTAACTCGTTGTCCCTAGCTAATTTCCATCAAGGCGCTAAGTTTTTGATGCAACAGTGAAGAGGTTAGATACAAGTAAACATGTTCAAATCTATCTTTTCCTGACAATTATAATGCTGAATTATTCACAAAAACATTAGACATTATGACCCATTTATTGGTGTTATAATGTTCTGTTTTAGTTCTCAAAATGATGATCCAATCAGAAAACAGAATGGACCTCACAAGAAACTCACATTTGTGTTGAATCAAGCTGAAATCCAGTTGGTTTAAATCTAAAACTGTCTCTGTGATCTGAATAGTCACTGCCTAAACCCCAGAACCAAACATGAGTCAGTGCTAGTGCAGCCTCTGCAGCTCAGGGAGGGAATTCTGGAGGTTCTGATCTTTCACATGAGGCCTGTCCTGTCTATAGAGTGAGAATGAGACAAACTTGGATGTGTCTCTGTGGGGTTCAGGCTCTGACAACACGGGTTAACAAAAAGTGAAAGGACTTTAAAATAAACCACAAAAGTGCAGAAATGTCTTTGTTTGAAATATTTCACCATTACAAACCAAGGTTTTATTTTTAATCTCTGCATCTCTCTTTTCAGTTTGTACTTTTCATTATACACAGTATGTTTGATATTGTCATTTCACATGGGCTCGATGTCCAGATCTTTTCATATAACCTCTAACTGGAAGCTCATTGTTCTACATTTGATCAAATCTTTCACAGAAATGAGTGAAACTGAGAAACCTTTTTATCCAACATTCTTTTATGTGGCATTACATCATTGTTTATGTTCTTCTACACTTGACAATAGATTTTTTATTGTGCTCAATATTGTGCCCAAGCCAAGTTCCCGACATGACTGTCCAAATGCCTCCTGTTTTTGGAATCATACTTGGTCAACATATCGTGTATTAAAGAAAAACTGACATTTCACTCGGGCTACACATTAGAAATGAGAGTCTAAAAATCATTTGCATTCACTTTAAACTTTAAACAGGAGCCGTTATTCAACCCAAAGACGAGGTTTTTGTCTGTTGATATGGCAACAAATAATGATCAGGATCAATATAGAGTAACTGTGAAAATAGAAATTATGACATCATCAAGTTCTGAAACCTGATGATGTGAAATGTTGTTTTGATGTTTTGTCAGATGAAGTACTTTTTCTTCACATAATTCTGTCTAGAGTCCAGCAGAGGGCGCACTGTGATAACTCTGTGACCAGTGTGGAACATGTTTTTCATTTCAGTCACCAGGGAAACTGACTGGAATTTCACTCGCCAATGGACTGACAACACAAGAAAAGAAAAAATAAATATATAATAAGACTACCCTATAGTTCACGTAGAGTCTATTTTTGCTTTTACTGTTTTGTTTGGTTTATGAAAGAAAAATACTAAAATGAATCACTCAACTCCATGAATAATTTCCATTGATTGGCAGATAACATATTTTCTATCAGCTCTTTTTGCATCTTATTAACATCAGAGATAAAGTTAAAGGGCCAATTTACACCATTTTTATTATTTATGTTTTAATGTAGTTTCCTCACAAACACACCTGGAGTAGTTTTCTTTCATTCACATTTAACACACAAAAACTGCAGATTTACGCTGAATTCTTCTCTCAAACGCAAAACACACTGTTCCACCTTGTGATGTCAATACAGGAAGTGCTCCACTGTGTTTTGAAACTCCACACACCTTCACTAGAATCATTTGGATCATTTCAGCTCAGGAACTGCCAATCTCTACTGAACTTAAGATAAAATATAGCTGTTCACTTGAAAACTACCACTTCATGACATCACAAGTTGGAACAGAACATTTTGAGCTTCAGGGAACGCAACAACGCAGGATTACTCGAACGTGTTACAATATTATAACATGACTTAAACCTCACAAGACTTTTAAAATGGCCAGGACAGTCCCCAAAACTTAGTGTCACTCCTGAACGCAAATGGAACTAAACTGGGACTAAACCGGAGCTGATCTGGACTAGACCAGGACTAGACCAGGACCAAACCACGTCTGCATGACTCCAGTGGGACTAGAACTAAATGTGAACGCACTTTTGTGTCTCTTTGAATGAATCAACAGAACTTCTTTACAGCATTACAGCAGTTTTAGCTCATTGCCTGCACATACCGATGACCCGACCTCCTCTGTCAAACTTTTATAACTTTAACTTTGTCTTATCAACTGTGTATCTGCTAACTCAGGGTAAGCTATTGTTAAAATAGTCAAAATCAAACTGCTTATTAGTCTATAGTTATAAACTATATATAACAATGATTACGTTTACCCTTCTAGAGTTTCTTGTTTAAATAATGTTGATGCTGATGATGATGAAAAGTGTGCAAAAATACCAAAATTACACGGAAGAAAATCTATCCATTTTCTCCTGCTTTATCTGGGGCCACAATCTGAGGCTACGTTTATATGATGACGGTCTGAACAGAAGAAGTAAAAGTGGCGTTGCGTCTTCACTTTTTATTTAGACGAGCGTTTTCGGGAGGAAATCTGCGTGCATACAGTGATGCAAAAGTGTTTGGAATTCAATTGGGGATGCATGTCAGGTTTCTGTGTACTGTATGTATGTGACGTAAGCACATACATACAGTACAGAGTTTTGTGTTTTGGGCAGTGTAGACGGAAACGCTAAAGCCGAGCATATGCAACTTTTCCACTCTGGAGGGTGGGTTCAGATTTTTGTGTTGAGACGTTGTCACTGTCTAAACGAAAAGCACTTGACATAAAATATTTAGTCGTGTTTACCTGCAAGTATTCTCATGTAAACAGGCCTCTAGTAGGGATGCCCAGACTTCATTCACCCCAGACACTTCCCATGCCAGCCCAGATGTATGTACATCTAAACAGAACATTAAACTGTATTACATGGATGGATTACATTACAACAGATTACATGTACCGGCGTTACGTAATCAGAGTACAAATTATGAGTAACTGTATTCAGTTACAGTTACTGTTTCAATGAGTGGTAATTGGATTACAGTTACTTTGTTGAAATAAATGGATTACATGGCGGTATTTTCCTGTTTTCACATCTTGGGCTAAACCAGGATTAAGCCAGGACTAAAACCAGGACTAAAACAGGTCTAAACTCGGACTAAACCAGGTATAAAACCAGGACTAAACCAGAAATAACCCAGGTCTAAACCAGGTCTAAAGAATATGACACTAACAGTAGGTGGACATAATTTAAAGCAGCAGTGATCTCATATAAAAATAATTTCTCTATCAATAATATTTTTAATCTGGTTAAGTAAAGACTGGACTTTTTATTGTCTTTAAACAGACTTATCTAAGATTCTCGTCTTTGCTTCTCTACAGTAAACAAAAGTCTGTTCATAGAGACTTGGGCTCAACAGCCAATTTGAAGAGAACAAACAAGAATTTTCAGGACGTGGTTGTTACATTCATGTAGTTGTAGTTTTAAAAAGCAGGACAATATCAAGTAATCCAAAATATTTAAGTATTTAAGTTTAAGTAACTTAATGGATTACATTACAGACTAAATTTTTGGGATATGTAATTTGTAATCTGTAGGGGAATACATTTTAAAAGTAACCTTCCCAACACTGATTACAGGACATAAAATCGATTTATGTCCAAAAATCGTTAAAATGACTAATTAACAACAACTTTTTTTTTTTTTTTTTAACTCAAATATTAGGCTCTCTATTCCACTTTTTTAGAAACCTGAAACCACGTAGCCTACTAGCAGTGTCCCCCGAGCCTCTGATCGGGAAACACTGCACAATCGAACTCATCTTTTTTATGGGGCAGTGAAACATCTCCCGCTCCCAGTCGAGACGAGCTCCCAGCGGACCCGCAAATCTCCATCTCCCGCCGCGTCGTGCCACCGGAGCGGAGCCGTGCACATCCATTAGGCGCGGGCGGAGGAGGGTCTGTACCTCCCCCCACGCACCCTCAGCCCTCCCCCCGGCGCGCCACCGTCCCCTTTCCGGCCCCTCGGAACGGTCAGTGCGCGGAGGGAAGCAGGGACACCGCGGACTATCACCTCCAACATGGACGCGCTCAGAGTGCTTCTCCCGCTGGCCACGCTGCTGTGCGCATTCAGAGGTAAGATTTGCAAAGTTATTTTTTTTATTTCTGCACGGTCTTCGCCTCGTTGCGTAAAATATCGTGAACTGCAGTAGGTTTGGTGGAATGAGGACAAAAAGTAGTGTTCCCGGTGCGGATAACTTGAGCAGATACTTATTTAGAAAAGACCAGTGTTGGGAAGGTGACTTTTAAAATGTATTCCCCTACAGATTACAGATTACACACCACAAAATGTAGTTTCTAACGTAATCCATTAAATTACTTAAAGTGAGTAACGTAATTTGAATACTTTGGATTACTTGATTTGCTGTAGAGAAGCAAAGACTCGGATATCTTCACATAAGAAGTTTAATCTGCTAAAAGAAAATAAAAAGCCCAGACTTTACTGAACCGTATTAAAAATATTATTGATAGAAGACGAAGAGACATGTCCACGCAGCATGATTTAGTCCTGTTAAATCCTGTTTAAGACCTGGTTTATTCCTGGTTTAGTCCTGGTTTAGACCTTGTTTAGACCTGGTTTTAGACCTGGTTTTAGACCTAGTTTTAGACCTGGTTTTAGTCCTGGTTTAGACCTGTATTATTCCTGGTTTAGTCCTGGTTTAGACCTAGTTTAGACCTGGTTTTTGACCTGGTTTAGACCTGGATTTAGTCCTGGTTTAGTCCTGGTTTAGACCTGGTTTTAGTCCTGGTTTAGTCCTGGTTTAGACCTGGTTTTAGTCCTGGATTTAGTCCTGGTTTAATCCTGGATTTAGTCCCGGTTTAGTCCTGGTTTAGACCTGGATTTAGTCCTGGTTTAGACCTGGTTTTAGTCCTGGATTTAGTCCTGGTTTAGTCCTGGATTTAGTCCCGGTTTAGTCCTGGTTTAGTCCTGGTTTAGTCCTGGTTTGGACCTGGTTTAGACCTGGTTTAGACCTGGATTTAGTCCTGGTTTAGTCCTGGTTTACACTTGGTTTTAGTCCTGGATTTAGTCCTGGTTTAGTCCTGGATTTAGTCCTGGATTTAGTCCCGGTTTAGTCCTGGTTTGGACCTGGTTTAGACCTGGTTTGGACCTGGGTTTAGTCCTGGTTTAGACCTGGTTTAGTTTCCGGCAATGAGTGGAATTACCAAACAAAACAAAAAAAAACGGAATAACCCAAAATGTGAAAACAGGAAAATACTGTAGCGACCTACAAACTGTCGCAGTGCTTTATGGGATTGTTTTTATTTGGGGCTAGTTATTGACAGGCAGTCATTTTCGGGGGGGAGCGTTCAGACCATGAGTTAGGCAGGAGTGTTTGAAATTTAACCCTGCACTGTTGCTATTTTGCCGAATCTATTTAAGCTGCAATATGAGCCAACCTGTTCTCACGGTTTTCATTTCGTTACCGCCGTTAAAATACCGCCATGTAATCCATTTATTTCAACAAAGTAACTGTAATCCAATTACCACTCACTGAAACAGTAACTGTAACTGAATACAATTACTCATAATTTGTATTCTGATTACGTAACTCCAGTACATGTAATCTGTTACTCCCCAACACTGGAAAAGACAACTGCTTAGACAAACTTTATTGAGCAGAAATAAGGCGTCTGAGTAGAAATTCTTTGCACAAACGAGCCTGTTTTCTTGTGTTCGTTGAAATAAACATGATGAGTCGAGGTTAGGTTAGGTCGCTTTATTTGTACCCGTAAGTAAATTTGTTTTGCAGATTTGAGGCAGGTCCCACATTTTACATTTCATTCATCCACATTATGTACAATAATCAGTGTTGGGGAGTAACAGATTACATGTAATGGAGTTACGTAATCAGAGTACCAATTATGAGTAACTGTATTCAGTTACAGTTACTGTTTCCATGAGTGGTAGTTGGATTACAGTTACTTTGCTGAAATAAATGGATTACACCGCGGTATTTTCCTGTTTTCACATTTTGGGCTAAATCCTGCTTTTTTTTTTTTTTTTTTTTGGTAATTCCACTCATTGCCGAAAACTAAACCAGGTCTAAACTAGATCTAAACCAAGTCTAAACCAGGTCTAAACCAGGTCTAAACCAGGTCTAAACCAGGTCTAAACCAGGTCTAAACAATATAACACTAACAGTAGGTGAACATAATTTAAAGCAGCAGTGATCTCATATAAAAATCATTTCTCTATCAATAATATTTTTAATCTGGTTAAGTAAAGACTGGGCTTTTTATTGTCTTTAAACATCTTATGTTTATCTTATGTTAACATTTCCTCGTCTTTGCTTCTCTACAGTAAACAAAAGTCTGTTCATAGAGACTTGGGCTCAACAGACAATTTGAAAAGAACAAGCATGAATTTTCATTAGAGCCCGATCGATATGGATTTTGTTGTGACCGATATGAATGGAGTTGGAGCTGCCGATAGCCGATATAATCGCCGATATATTTAGTGATGTAAAAATTCACTGTAAATCTTGAATTTATTAAAAAACTTAGGTTTGGCTCTAGTGGATTCTAAATTGGGTTTATTTAGGCAACATTTATTGTTATTTTGACTCTTTACATCATATTTACATACAGTAGATTGGCCTAATGGCATTTTTGCATCACATTCTAGCTACTGTTACTGTCACTGCTAGTGATGGGTATTCCATTTTTTTTCTATTTTTTTGGAGAACCGGCTCGGCTCACTAAAGCAACTGGCTCTTTCGGCTCCCAAGCGACTCTTGAGATGGTTTTGTTGCAAGCAGGACTAAACCAGAACTGAACCAGGACTGAGTGTCGGGACTCGGTTTCTATCTCTCTCCTTCACTCAAGCCCAAGATTAGTCCTGGTTTATTCATTTTATGCTGAACTGCAGCCAAATATGCACTTTTTTTTATCCTATGCACACGCAGATTTCTGAAAGTTTCGTTAACAGCCGCTGCTGCTGTCAAACTACGGGTCTACATGCGGCATGAAGAGAAAAAGTGAGAAAAAGAGAAAACACGGCTCCCAAAAAGAAGCAGGCTCCTGTTGTTCGCTTCAAAGAGTCGGCACTAAGAGCCGCTTCGATCGCAACCGACCCATAACTCCTAGCTAGTAAACTATTGCTATTAGCCTTTAGCCGTAAAAACGTGCGCACCGCGGTAATTAATTATATGCATAAATGTGGATCATTCACACGTCTATTCACAGCTCATTTACATATCAATGCTGGTCCAGTAACAAATATACGGCCAATATAGTCACTTTACAATAGACCAATAGAAAACAGCCTGTTTATGTGTGGGAGCTACAGCAGCTAACCGCTAACAAAACCTAAACTAGCTTCAAAGTCGATGTATTTCCAACACTCACCGCTCACACAGGCTCCTCCTCACATCACAAATCTGCACTAATAAATGTCCTTTTAATCCAGACTCAAACTGATTGTCCGAAAAGAATATGATCTCAGTGTTGCGCACGGCTGCGGGTGTAAACAAACACACGCGAGTGAAGTGAAGTCACTCTGGGGGTGTGTTCAGGGACAGTACGGACACAGACACAGACAAATTACACTGTAGATAAATACTGATGCGGAGCCACATATTAGGACATTTATCTGTCTGTAAATTGGATTAAATGAACAGAATGTAGAGAGTCTAAGCTTTATAACGAGGTGTAACATGCCCACGTGAAATATCGGCCCATATCAGCAAGCATATCGGCCGATAGCCGATATGTCTCCAGGTGCCCATATTGGCCGATAATATCGGCCAGCCGATATATCGGTCGGGCTCTAATTTTCATTTTGCTACATTCATGTAGTTTTAAAAAACATGACAATATCAAGTAATCCAAAGATTACGTTACTCACTTTAAGTATTTTAATGGATTATGTTACAACTTGTCCACATTGTCTTCAGTAACTGCAGATCTGCTGCAGTTACAATGTCCCCAGTGTTTGAAAATACCCTCTCGCTTGGGACAGAGGTCGTGGGTATGGGGAGGTGAGGACCGGAGCATGATGACTGTAGTTTTGTGAGGATTCACATGGTTCAGAGGGACGTAGTCAAGGCGAGGAGGCAATTATTGTCAAGGCAGCCACCAAAATATTAAAGTATCATGACATTAGTTTGAATCTGATTGGTCGAAGAATCTGTGTATCATTCAAAATAAGAAAATGAAACAATAACTTCTTTGTTTCTTCATTATTTTGTCTCCAAAACCAAAATGAAAAAAATGGATAGTGATATTTTTTTTAGGTTTTCCATTCTGTTTAAATGAATAATGGAAAAACAGACAACGGCATACAGACTGAACCAGGACTAAAACGGGACTGAACCAGGACTGAACCAGGAGGAACAAACCAGGACTAAACCAGAACTGAACCAGGGCTGAGTGTGCAATCGCATAGACCATCGGGAGACCACAGGCAAAAGGACGGGCACACAGCCACGCCCCACAGGACTAAGCGTCACCCGATTGCGCTTTGCGGACACCCTGCTCTGTGGGCTGAGGGTTTCATCTCTCAAGTCCAAGATTAGTCCTGGTTTAGTCCTGGTTTAGATCTGGTTTGGTCCTGTGTAGTCCTGGTTCAGTCCTGGTTTAGTCCTGATTTAGTGCTGTTTTAGTCCTGGTTCAGTTCTGGTTCAGTCTGTATGTGGCACAAAAGTCCGGCATCGCAGATACCAGCTGTTATCCGTTTTTCCATTATTCATTTAAACAAAATTGAAAACTGAAAAAAACAAATCACTATCTGTTTTTTCATTTTAGTTTTAGAGACGAATAATGAAGAAAACTGTTGTTTCATTTTCTTATTGTGAATGATACACCGATTTTTCAAAATCAGATTCAAACTAACATCATGACGCTCTGCATTTTCCAGTCACTTTGAGCAAGAAAGTGCAGAACTCAACTGAGCACGCACATACACATCTGGTTATCTTCCAGCATGTGTTCTCACTCAAACAACACATGGAAGTTCTCAAATGGTCAAAGGTTAAAGCCCATGACACCACCTTTCTGGAGTTGTGAGATCCCTTTGCGTGTTAAAGAAATGAGTGGCCTCCTGCACTAGAACTTTAGTTACATCATTGTGAGAC